GGCCCTGGACCCCCACCAGCCCCTGCTTCTAGGGTAAGTAGAGGCTTTTTGGGGGTTTTTTTCTTTTTTTTTCTCTTTAAAGTAATGGTGCCTGGAGTTGCGAGGGCAGCCATGGAGGCCTGGGGGTGCAAGTGGGGGATAGGGCCAGGCAGGGCAGCAATTGGGGGGTTTGGGGGAAGGGGGGAAGGGCTGAGTGGGCCAGCTTTGGGGGAGCTGCAGGAGCTGGTGGGGGATAGGGCCAGGCGGGGCAGCAATCCAGGAGGCTGGAGGAGTAAGCAGGGGGGGGGCATGTGGGGGGCTGGTAGTCCCTGCAGGGGCCATTTGGCCCCTATGAGGGGGCCTGTGTCCCCTGCTGGGGGTACTGTAGCCCCTGAGGAGGGGTTATAACCCCTGTTGGCAGGCTGTAACCCCTATGGGGGGGGCAGTAAAACACATAGGTATTAAGAATTCACTTGATGATGATGATAGAGACACTGGTAGGTTCCAGAGTGCTATAACACTGTAGATATATCAATAAAACATTGCCCAACTGATCGCTGTCATTTTGTCTCTCACTCTTTCTCTCTCTGTATATATATAGTGGTCTTTTGTTTTAATTGTGGAGGAACATGGACTTTGGGGTATTTAAAAGAGTGACTTTGGGATTTTTTTATCAGGGATTTTTCATTTTTGAAATAGGGAACACCAGAATTCCTGCTAAGGAGGCCGGTGGCAGGGCCCTGCCTGCTCAGAGCTGGCACCTTGGACCCAGCTGGAGGTGGCTGACCTCCTGGCCAATTGGGGCCAGGAGGACATGCTTTGACCGTTCAAAGCAGGCCACCACACTGGAAACATCTTCCAGGTTATAGCTGCCCAGATGGCCAGGAAGGGGGGCACACGTGGCAGTAGTGCCTCAGAAAGGCCAACCCTGCAGCCACTTCCCACTGGCAGTTGGCCCAGAGGGGAAGATGCCTCTGCTGGCTGTGCAGTCCCCATCTGGGTCTGACAGGTGCACCACAGGTCACAGCCAGACAGCAGCCCCCACTGCCAGACTACTGCAGTGGGTAAAGGGTGCAGGGAACTCTCAGGGCTGCTTCAGCAGTCCAGCTGGCACAAGGGGTAGTGTTCCCAGGTACCAAGTGGCTGGGTCCCAGAAGCTCCTGAGAGTGAGTCACCCTGAGCTACTTGCCAGGGCAGCTTTTTGTACTGATGGAGCCAGGACAGGGCAGCTTTTTATATCGCTGGGGACAGCACAGGTGCTGGCCCCAGGCTCTAGCTCCCCCTGGCTGCAGATCTGGGAGGAGCCAGGCAGGGTTATTTTTCCCCTAGTGGCACAATTTGCCCCACACCAAAGTGTATGTCCAGGCATATGCCCTGAAGCAAAAAGCCCCAGCTCAAATTTGCAACACTTCTGTGTTCTTTGAGCTGCTGCACATGCACGTGCTTACATGTGTGGACATGCCTCCAAAGTCTAGTAAAATCAGGAAAGCTATAGGTTATGGAGTTGACTATACTGAAATTTATCAAAAAAAATGTCAATTTGCAATAGCATATTGTGTATACTAATGTCTGGATATATTTACTAACCAGTATATCAGACCAATGGACATATCAAATCACCAACAGTAATGTGCATATTCAGGTTATCATCTTTGAGGGCTTTATCTGATTGAGTCAATAGCAGAATAAATTTAGCAAGAAGAAACTCTAACATTTTCTATCACTTCTTTATTTTTTGTAAAATTTCTGATCCTATTTTATAGCCAGAGACAAAATGTAAATATATTCGTTCTATGGCTCATATTACAAAGATCATGTTTTATAACTGTAAAAGTTTCTAAAGAGTATGAAAATAAATTTGGACATTGTACTGTTCCAAACTTCTTGCTGATGGCCCAAAACTTTAATCTAAATTGTATGCATCTAAATTTAAATGAGGAATTCCATATTGAAGCATTACATAAAAATTTTGCATAGCTGCCATTAATATTAAGTGATACAAGTTAAAACAATTTGGCTTTGACTTTTATAGTTTTCTCAACCACTCTGAACTGACATCCACAGTTGTACTAATAAGTGGTGTGGGTGCTAAGGTGCATGGTTGATAGCCCGAAAGTTGCAAGCTCAGGGTCATAGGAAAGGCATTCACAGTGTGGCCCTGTTAGATTCCAACTAATCTTCAAGTTCAGCTAAATAACTGAACTTTTGTCAGAAAGACATGAAAAAGGGAGTCCATTGTTCTAACTGTTTGATTAGTGCATGAGCCAAAAACACATCTAATGTATATGTTTTGTGTATATCAAGGAATCCTTGATTATGAAGTTAAAAGCACTATGTCATACCTTGATAAACAGCTTTGAATCCAGGCGAGCCAATGCTGTCATCAGATTGTAAATGGAGCCACATCTGGTTGCTCATGCTCACAATAAGGTCAGGAACACTAGATCCTGTGAGTCTGTAGGTAGAATAAACTGAAATGTCATTTCTGGATAAATTTCTTACACATATATGACATTAAAATGATATTTTAACAAGTTTTTAATAAATTTACTCTACTGTTAAGATCAAAGGGCTTATTTGAGCATTGACACACTATGTCAGCATAACAATTAATTTTAGAAAGACTCTTTTACAATGTGAATTATCTATTAATTCAACCTAAATATACCCAGGTGTTGTAAGTCTATAACTTACTTTGATACTTATACATATGCACCATTTATTATTTGTTTAAAAATATGAATGGGGTCTAAAGGTATGTGCATATGTTCAGGAGACCTGATATACCATCATGCTTGTGTAGATATTCGCTGGTGCTTGGAACTGTGGTGGAAACACCACCTAAGTAAGATGTGGTGAGGGGAAAGTCAGGAAGGATTAGGGGTTGGGCTAGCAGGTCTTCAGGGGGAAGTTGGGGGGGGGTTCAGAGGGGCTTGGGGGTTCTGTGAGGAATGTTGTTCATTTCAGATGGGGGGAGACAGGGGTTAAAAATAGTCTAGTAAGGGTTGGAGGAGTGTAGCTCCTCCACAGGTGCCAGATCTAACCTCTCTGCAGGTCTATACAGTTCAGCACTTAGACTGACCTAACCCTAGTTAGGTTGATCTAAGTGTAATGTTTGCATGTAACCTAAGAGCTAAGTCCTATTTGTTTGCTTAGAATAAAGGATGTTTTTACACCATGAAGTTAATCAAAATAGGACTTAATTTTTTTTTTTTACAGTTCTCCTTTTGTGCGGTGGGGGATGGATGGGGGGAGGGGGTTGCTTGCCATTGGTGGTTGGAGGTCCACACAGACTGCTGGGTGTGCAACTCTGGACTGCAAACAGGCACCTATTACAGTCCTCTGCTGTGCCAGAGTTGAGCAGCCCTGATCTAGAAAATGAAAGAATCAAGTTCTTTTTTCTCCTCAACCTAAAAGCATTCACATCTAAGGGCACCTATATAGTACACCTGCCCAATGTCTGCTCTGACACACTCTAATTAGAACATGTCAGAGTAGGCTCAATTAATCAAGTCTCCTGGAGCATGATATTAACATGCTTCAGCAGCCCCAGCGTCATATGTATTCAGCAACCCCATGCTTCAAAATGGTAATAGGATGCTTTAACTAAAGTTCATTGAATGAGCTTTAGTTAGTATCCCTGCTGTCATTTTGAAGTGTGGGATGCTGAATTCATGAGATACTATATTTGCTTTAATTAGAGCAGATCCAAAAAGCCACTCTAATTAAAGTGCCCCCCCCCCCCGCAAAAGGTTAAAACCCCCCCCTCCCTGAAAATGTGTAAAGACACCCTCAATTCCTATCCTCCCAGGAAAGAGCCTTTATCAAGAAGACAGAAGCCGGGATTGCTAGCCTTCTGCATGCATCATGTTGAAAGTGCACTATTGTTATGTCACAGAAGAAAGAGATAGTTGCAAAAAGATGGTACCAAGCTGAACTGAACTTTCCAGGTTTCTCAGTGCTGGAAGCTGTGGGCTGCATGGTCCTTCAAAAGGAATAACCTCATCTGTGTCTTCCACCGCTTGTGAGTCCTTATGGACAGCAAATAACATCAAATAATAGTCTTTAATATTCTCTTCTCCTGGTAGATCACTAAGTGAGTATTACTGATTGCCATGATGAAATCACACTTCAGATGACTTAGAGCTGGACACTATTTTATTTTACCTGTCTAAATGGCAATTACCTAGCCACAGAAGTGTAATTTTTGGCACCAGCACACAATTAGCAATTGTGTTCTAGGCAGTGCAGACATGCACATGTCCACATGCTGAGTAAAGCTGAGAACTGGCTGAGCACATATGTGGTATCATACACCCATATATTCCCATAAGGCTAAGTTAGTACATAAACTGTAGTAGGGTGGGGGAGAGAAAACATAGCAGTGGAAAGGGGAAGAGTATTATCCATGTTTTGACCTAATAACCCAATAGTTAAGAGTACTCAGTAAAAAGAGGCTTAGGTTTTAGACCCTCCTGGGGCAAAGGGGGTTGAAACCTTCATCTACTGTTTATCACTACAGTACTCTAACCACCTGATCACTCATTAGATATTACCCAAAGTCTTCTCTAGCCTTCCCCTATAGCTGGTACTGTGGTCTTCCAAGAAAGGGAGATAGGTAAGGTCAGACAGAGTAAGCCAGAGGGTTTGTGTCTCAATGGCTGTGTCAACACAAGGTGCTGGCTGCACAACCACTAGTGCGCAGTCATTTAGTAACTGTATAAACAAGTACTAAATGACTACACAGTAACCTGAGTTACTGCATAGTAGCGTCGGTGAACAGCTTTCTCGTGATGCTGACTGTGCAGTAGCTTGAGACCACTGCACAGTAGTTTTGCATCACAATTGCTGCCATGTGTTGCTAATGTGAAGTAGTCTCAGGCAACTTAGCAGTCAGTGTCTCATGTAGATATGGCCAGTGAGATGGTTTCTCCCTGAAGGAGCTGTCTGGGATGGACCAGAAGCTTCCCCCCATCTATTTTATGCAATGGTATTAAATGCAAGAGACTTAACTTCAAGTGGGTCAGTGTCAAAGAGAATAAGGGACATACAAAGAGTGAAGGAGATTAGCATCTGATGAATTTGTGGGATAATTCTGTTAAAAAAAAGAACTAATAATGTTAGATTACTGAGCAACAGGTGGTAGAAATATCTGAAACTAATCAGTGAATCCAAGGTCACCTTTTTCAAGATTGTAATGTGAAGTAAGACATATTTAATAGTTTAATAAAATATTTCAAAGTACAACTAAAGATGTGTATATTGTTCTCCAGTGTAACCACATAATTATAAATAACCTCAACCTATTTCCCCAGTCACAATGCTTTACCCATTTAAATACTATTTTCACAAATCTTAAGCATTCAATAGTAAAATTTCAATTTTTCATAATAATTTTGATTCTCTGTCAAGAAAAATGGAATGACAGCTCTCCTGCTCTCTGTATGTTTGGAAGGCTTGTTTATCTTTCATTATCTGACAAAAGGTAAGATCCTCCTGTAAGACAGCCTTGAAGCTGAAAGATTCCTTGCTTTTCTCTTCTCTATTTCTATCCTCTGTTGCTCAGTTATCTAGCATTGTTAGTTAAAAGTCTAAAACAGATTTTTCTTGAAATATTTTCCACTGTCAAAACCATGGTTTTATCTTTTCTTCCTTATTCATGATGAGGAATTTTATTTTTTGTTTGTTTCTTTTTGGTGGGGGGTGGTTTGGATTTTTTTTTTCCTTTTTGTTGTTGCTTTTAAAGGAAGGGATTTCTAATTTCCAGTCCCTTGTAGCAGTCTGTTACTTGTACAGTAGCTAATACCACAATCCTCTAATCTTGACTGGGAAACTTTGGATGTTGTTACTGATATTCCACATAAAGTTTAGAAAAATGGTTTAGACCCAGCTCAAATATATTTAGTGAACTTTTTTCTTTCCTATACTTCGGGAAGTATTTTTAATAAATAATGGTATATTTTGAAGGATTCATAAAACTGCATTAGGCAAACTGAAACACATGATTAGCCAACTTGAACAACATAAAATTGTCACTAATTTAGAAAGGACAATGACATCAGTAGTATGAAATTCCTGCAAAGGTATGCACATCTGCAAGAATGGAGTCATAAACATTTCCTGAGCTCTAAGTACTCCTTAGGACTGAATGACCTCTCATTGATTTTGCAGGGTATCCTTCCCCTTGTATGGTGGCAGTCTGACATTGACAGTATTGTTTTATTCTTCACAGGTGACGAATGGCTCACACAGTTTGTATGCTTAATTGCACCCATACGGCAAGCCAACACTCCAAGGCTTTGACTGCTGATACTGCTATATGCAGCTAGTGTCACTGGTTAATTTAGCTTAGCTAAATTATACTTTCTATACTTCTAATTTTATCAACTGTGTAGGCATTCCAATAATTGGTACTTGAAATCTGAAATATTCAATCACATCATTAAAAATTACTTCTATCCTCTATATCAGACAAACCCTGTGAATAACATTACTGTTCCTGCTTTTTGGCTTTTTGCATACTATAAAAATAAGGTAAGTTATTGTAAAGTCAAACTGAGGTGTGTTTTTCCCAGCTATACACAGAAAAAATAATGAGTATTCTTTAGCAATTAAGGAGGCTGAGATTGTTTTTTAAACCTCCATTAGGTTTCTAAACTGTGCATGAAAAGAGGAAAAGAATCAGAAATTATTTTAAAAATGTGTCTTTCTTATGAAACATAACAAGGAAGCAGCTTTATTAATTCAAGTGCACAAAGCTGAACAGTTTATATTATGGAAAATTACATGCAGGCTTTTTATTTTGATAGCTGACTTTAAGTACTAAGCTTCTAATCACCAAGTCCTGATTTCATACTATTCGAACCAGATAAACTATTATTTTTTTATTGTTATATATTATTAAAGTCATAAAAGGTTTATGGTATGACAGAATTAGTAAAGGTTTTAAACTGAATTTTATTAAAGCATATTAAAGCATATTAAAGAATCTTGCAAAGAATATCTGAACAACACATGCCAAAGCACTGCCTGACTCCTCAAATGTAAAATATGTGTTGGCTTAAATTATGAGAAAGTAAGAGCGTGTGAGATTATCGCCTCAATCTCAGGTCAGTCTCTGGTCCCCAGCAAAAAAGGGGAATAGCTAACTGAAAGAGAAGTTTTGCTTAGTTCCTACAGCTATGGACTGGAACATCCTCAGTGCTGATAGAAGATTCAGAAAATTTAGCTAGCAGCCATCCATTGCTAATGGTAAAACACCTATACTCTGGTCAATTTGGATAGATTTTCATGGGACCAGTAAAAAGCACTGCTTTGACATCAGAGTGACTCATCCACATATGTGCACAGACAGACACACACACATGTGCACACACTATTTTAAGTTATCGCTTCAAAGTATATACCAAATAAATCAACACGTACTGGCAAAACAACATACTTTTTCCTAATCTT